CTGAGATTCATACAACCAACTCCATTTAGTAGGATAAAGCTTTGTTATTACTGATGATGAGCACTTCATATAATACACACATATATTGCATTAATTCTTTAAATTTTTAAGCAGGTATCAAAACTATATTCTTATGAGAGATATAATTACCTGCAGAGTCATTGTCGTATGCAAAGCAAGATTGTTAGCAGCAATTAGGATCGACTGTGAAATGGTTGTTATGATTTTGGGGTCTTCGTTAGTTGGTGGCGGAGTGCATGGACGAGACTCACAAAGAATTTCTGTACATATGTATGAACTTCTTAGATGATTACAATGAACAATGACAATGTAACATGGGTCCACAAGCACCACTACCACACAACACATATATATATATGCCTATGTGTATGTTAATTTCCAAGATATCTGCAATATTTGGAGTTAGAGGTGATTTTCACAATGTTTTCAGTTGTTTATACGTTTTTTTATTTATAGTCATCGACTAAACGATTAATTAAATCAAACGAAAACAACGAATATAATTAAATAAGAAAGTGTTGGAGAACAAAAAGATGCGTGTTTATCATTTTCTTTTAAGGTTATTAATTGAACTCAACATGTAAACAACTTGATTTTCGTAAAGTTAATATTATCATACAGTGTGTGAATATAACATAAAATTAGAAGTTGATTTCTTTCTTTTTTTAAAAAAATGGACCAGCTAGTGACTTCGTCATGGCAGTCCACCCTTTTGGGCTTTAGAAGACTCATAGAGGCATTTCAGCCTCAACTGGCCACTATCGTATGATTCACCAACATTAGAAACGAACACAGGACGTGTCATGTGGAATACAGACCTGAAATTCATCCTCAACAATACCTTCATTTTTCATACGAAGAAAGTGCTCTCAACAATATAAAAAAGAAAATAGTAAATCTTTTACAATAAAATCAAGAAAAAATTTGCTCGACTCCTAACAAAAACTTATAAGAATAAAACGGTTTTACGCATGTGCTAAACTGTAATTGATATGTAACTATAAAAATAAATGAAAGCTAATGAAAAGGGTTTGAAAAGTTTTAGTTTTAATAAAAAAAATCATGTTATAAGTTTTGTTTAATGATTAATACAAGGCCCATATTAAAGCAGTCCAACTAAAAATGGTCCAACTATAATAAATTATGATTTGTCGATTTTACTCCTAACTTTTTAAGGTTGAGTTCCAGATTTTCATTGTTAATGGAATTCATCGTTGTTTTGCAGACCTTCTTCTTTTTCTTTGAAACAAAAATATAGATCTCATGCTATTTAAGTTATATTTTGTATTATTTCATTGAAATGTGATTGTCGTTATTATTTATAGTGTATTCGAGATACTGTTTTTCAATTTTTCTTCATCAGTGGAGTTCATCATTTGTTTCTCCAGATAATAAATTTGAGATTGGCATACTATCCAATAATAACAACGGGTCACTGGTTATGGACTGTAAAAATAAATTGTCTCTGGATTTTAAGTAACACTGTTTCTGGAATGTAAGTCACATTTTTTTTAATTTAAGTTACTGTTTCTAGAATCTAAGTCACAATTTTCAGATTTAAATGAGATATACACACTGTTTTTTAAATGTAAGCTGGAAAAGAAATAGTGAAATTCACTGTATCTGGATTCAAAGCAAAATAAGCACTTTATTTCTTAAATATAATCAGCTAATACATGAAAGAAAAGAAACAGTGAAAGGTTAAAAACATAGACTATTTCTAGAATGTAATTCATTGTTTCTGTAATCTAACTCACTATTTCTGAAATTTAAGTCCTTGTTTATGAAATTTAAGTCACTGTTTCTTTGAAACAAAAATATAGATCTCATGCTATTTAATTTATATTTTGTATTATTTCGTTGAAATGTAATCGTCGTTATTATTTATAGTGCATTCGAGGTACTGTTTTTCAATTTTTCTTCGTCAATGGAGTTCATCGTTTGGTTCTCCATATAATAAATTTGAGATTTGCATACTGTTCAATAATAACAACGGGTCACTGTTTCTGGACTGTAAAAATAAACTGTCTCTGGATTTTAAGTAACATTATTTCTGTAATTTAAGTCACAGTTTTTTAAATTTAAGTTATTGTTTCTGGAATTTAAGTCACAGTTTCCGGATTTAAATGAAATATACACATTGTTTCTTAAATGTAAGCTAGAAAATAAATAGTGAAATTCACTGTATCTGGATTCAAAGCAAAATAAGCACTCTGTTTCTTAAATATAATCAGCTAATGCATGAAAGAAAAGAAATAGTCAAAGGTTAAAAAAACAGACTGTTTCTGGAATGTAAGTCACTGTTTCTGGAATCTAACTCACTGTTTCTGAAATTTAAGTCCTTGTTTCTAAATTTAAGTCACTGTTCCTGAATTTTGGTTTTTTTTTTTTTTTTTTTTTCCAGATACAGTGTTTGTTTGTGCACAGACAAACTGTATCTAATTTTTTTTTTTTTTTCAAAAACACTGTTATGTTTTGGGTTCTCCAGAAACAGTTTTATGTTTTGGTTCTTTTTTTTATCCAAACACTTTTTTGTCGATTTCTGCCATTAAACTTCTTTGAACTTGATTCGAAAGCTTTGTTCTGATGAATGCTTCCTTTTTCAACTTTGATTTGAACTGACTCTTCCCTTAGGGGGTATTTACGGGTTGAGGTTGGTAAAGAGTTGTCTCCGAGTGCCGCACGCCAACATCCAAAGAGAACAAAATCCCCACGTTTCTTACATGTCCACCTGCGCCGAGAAAGCCGGCCAGAAGGGTGGGTTCTTCATGCAAGAGGAAACTGCAGTTCTTCGAGACCACGAACCACGAAGAGGTTGAAGATATGTTCAACATCCAAAGCGAATAAATAATAAGAATTCAAAGAATACCAATTAGCTAGCTAGTTGTGGAGGAAAGGTAATTCATATGATTGAAGTAATTCACACACACAGATGATGAGGGAATACAAATATATATCCACATCCAACTGTCTGAAAAACTCATCCAAGTACCCCTCCTATATATAACCTGGAAATTCAATCTTGCCCACCAGGCATGAATCTATCCATGAACTTGTAATACAAATTATACGGACGTGATTGCCACGTTTTGGACCGTACATATCCCTCATATATAAAACCCAGAAACCAAAAATCGTGAAAAATAAATAAGAAAAAAGGTGTAATAATAGTAGTCCGTTGAATTGAATTGGCACCAGTCCATGAAGCAGCTTTGATTTATGTACATGGGCGGCTCCTTTTGGCACGAGAGTTGATCATAAAGCTCGATCCGAACATATCTTCAACCTCTTCGCGGTTCGTGGTCTCGAAGAACCGCAATTTCCTCTTGCATCGAATCATTTAGGGTATTTACGGAAGTGTAAATTTGTAGCGGGTTTTGCTTGTAAGTTTGACCCATGGACAATAGTTTTGGATGATTTTTTATTAAACTTTGAGTCATTTTGGTTAAATAACATTTTGGGATGGTGTTTGGTTAAATATTTGTTAGCCCAAACCTTTTTCATTAGAGCTCTCTAAAAATAATGCTAGAAAGACAAGACAATGTATTCTAGTATTTCCGTAACTGGAGTGGGTGCCCTTTTAAAAATAATAAATTATAATTAATAAAAATTAAAGAGTTGGATAAAATTCGAAACTATTACAAATATCTTCAAATCATTAATACATGCGTAGTTAATTTCATAACTTTTTGTTTGCATGTGTGTAAACAATAATGCAACATGAAGAACACATGCATGGAAGTATATATATCATGTGATCAACTCTAGCTATTCATCGACCATCAACTTTTGGTGTTGGTGAGAAAGAATTAAATTCAAGAGTTTGATCATTTTTCTAGATAAGAAATTTTTTAGTGTGTCCGGAATACAGAATGATGCATCACATGTTATTATATAAGTGGAGAGAAATTTTATTTCAAATATTATTTTTACTTTATAATGACATGTGGTGTACTATCCCGTGTTCCGGATACACTGTAAAATCTCTCTTCCTATACAGAAAGGGAATTATGTCCTATTAAATTGCACAAACTGATTTAGGACTTGCTTGTTAATTGTATCAAAAAATGGTGCAGAAAATCAAGTTTTCTTTCAATTTTGCTTGTTGGATACAATTACTTACTGAAGTTTGAAGATCACAAAAGCATATAAATGATGATGTAAATGCATTAGAGGCACAACAAAGTTCAATATTTCCCAGGAGATCAATATCACAGCATATTAATAATGAATGTCAAAATTATGTGTGGGATCAAAGCAACATTTACTTCATCTGTGGTTTTTCTTGGTTTCAGCAAGAAATTATGGCTTTGTAGTTCTCTACCAACCAAGGCAGAGTCACCGTACATACATAAATTTGATGACGATTATAATTCTTTTATTGTAGGCAATATCACTATTTTATAAGTTACAATAAAGAAACAAAGAAAGGGAATTGTTATTACCACTTCAAAAATCTCATTCTACATTGCAAACTTTTTTTATTAGGAAAGAAAAATACACTTATGAGGAGTATAGAATGAGATTTTTGAAGTGTCAATAACACATCCCTAAAGAAAATGGGGATTTGAATTTGAGGTGCAAAAGGTTGAAGAAAAAGACTTCTTTTCACATAATCAATCCCTTACTACTTACGGTTAATTGTCATTTAAATCATCACGAGTCACCGCCAATACACACATTATACAATTAACAACAATTAATATTGGTGCATCTGTACTAGTGAATAATGGATATTGATGTTTAGTAAGGGTGAAGTTGAGTTACATACGAATGAACCTTTATTTGGACATCAAGTATACAATAAATATATAGTTATTGGCACTTCAAAAATGACATCCACATCCCTTTTTATACAACGTTTTTCCCGTATTTTTGTGAATTTGAAATGCATACCAAACTTATTTAAGTAATTAAGAAGGAGATTGTAGCGAGATGGAGTAGGCAAAATTGGACTGGCGATAAGGGTTTGATTAATCTTAATTAATCCACTGATGATAGCCATCTTGTGAATTGAGAAAAGCTGAAATTGCATGGAGGTCTACATCTTCATGGTTTGGTTGAAATAATAAATGATCACTGGTAGCACCCAAATTTTTCCACATTGCAGCTTCTACATCCTCCCTCAGTACTAAATCCTCACACTTCGTTCCATCACCATGTCCAACAAAGTTCGAATCATCCACCACATAATTTCCAAATCCATTGATCATTTCGGCCTCGTGTGAAAGGCCATGGATGTAACTGTCGAAATCTCTTAGAAAACTCAACGACGAATTCTGATCACGATCATCTGAGATGTCTGATAGTGCCACCGGATTGGATTTCACTGGATTGGATTGATCATCTTCATCTTTGGAAGGATTAGAACAATAATTACCACGTTGATGATGATTATCGCCAGCATTAGGTGCTTGCTTGTTATTAATTATGCGTCGAGGTCTTTCTTCTTGAATTCTCTTGCTCAAACTGATATTCCAGAAGTTCTTGATTTCATTGTCTGTTCGACCGGGCAATCTTCCGGCTATGAGAGACCACCTAATATATCAATGCGTCCACCATTATTATTATTTTTTAACTAATTTTGTACGTGTGCTTGGATCATAGAAATACACAATATAATCAAAAGCTTGGAGGACTAGTTTAAATTGCGGTTTGACCCCCTAAATTATTACCTCAGTTGAAATTGACCCCTTGAACTATTTAAATTAACCCCTAAACTATTTAAATCAGCCAATTAACCCCTTGCCGTTAGACTCCGTCCACTATTTTATCAAATTCAAGGCCAAATTAGTCTTTTCATCATCAATTCTTACTTGTCAGCTATAACCACCAATAAAATAATGTCACGTGGACACGGAATAATTCAAAAACTTATAGCATAGTAAGAAACATAAAGAAACAAAGCGTTTACATAAGGACCATTTCATATTGTCATTACACATGTTATGTGTCCACATGTCATAATTTTATTGGTGATTATAAGTGACATGTAAGAATTGATGATAAAAAACTAATTTCCCCTTGAATTTGACAGAATAATAGACATAATCTAACGACATGGGGTTGATTGGCTTATTTCAAATAGTTCAGGGGGTTAATTTACTAAAAAAATAGTTTAGGGGTCAATTTCAACTGGAGTAAGAGTTCAAGGGGCCAAACAACAATTTCTCCTTTATCTATTTGCATCAAATTTAATTATATAAAAAAAATTAAAAGCTATTGGTTAAAAATATTATAAAGTGAGTATTTAACCCAAAACCAATAAACAATGGATAGTGATGTTCAGGATAATTCAATCACTTATGCAAGGCTCTGATGTGAAATTTACATTCTCAATACGTCTGCTTACATATGAGAACGTGAATAGTCTACTTCATATCATGTTATAATTAATGTGAACATCCAACCCAAAATCAATTGGCTGGGAGACTTATCATGTAAACACTCTTGCAAGCCTTTGCTTCACCATCCTGGGATTCACACTATTAATGTGCAAAAATATGTCATACCTGTTTCCAAGAAGCTTGTGCAATCTGATAATGAGGTCTTCTTCTTCCGGAGAAATGTTGCCTCTCTTAACACCAGGTTTAAGATAATTCAACCATCGCAGTCTGCAACTCTTCCCACTCCGATTCAACCCTACAAATATATACAGTAACAATCAATGAAATGGTATTATATATGTATATTATCACTACGAAAACTAGTTTATTATGTAAATAAAAATAAAAACTTTCGCTATACGAACCAGCTTTTTTAGCAACATGTCTCCATTGTCCTTCTCCATGTGTTTTGACGTAGTCAGTAAGGACTTCATCTTCCTCAGCACACCATGCTCCTCTTTTTAGCCCGTCTGTATCACCGGCTGGTTTTCTCCCCATCTCTCTCTCTCTCTCTCTCTCTCTCTCTGTATATAATTTTTCTGGGTGGAGAAATCATTGCATATTAGTGGGTATATATATAGCGCGATTGAGGAACTAAACTTTGGTTTCCGTTTTTGGAGTGAAGGTCCTAGCACAATAAACGTTTCTGAGATTTAGCGACTTAATGCAGTAATAAAACAAAATATTTATAATTTACCAACTATGTATGTTTGTGTGTGTTTTTAAATTTAAACGTGACTAGGTATTTTTTGACGATCGAGAGAAAGATAGAAAGAAAGAAAGACCTAGAAAATAATGTTATGTTTCCGATCAGTTTTGTCTTAAATGAATGAGCAGAAACATTAATGCAAACGAACAAATATATGGACCATATATAGATGTACATGTTAAAGCAGAGTTTGATTTTAACCAGTATATATTTACCCAGTAGAGCACTGTCGGGAATTACAGTATTTTGGACATTCAGATGTACTTTTCACTATCACGGATGCATATGGAATAATTTATCAGTACTGTAAAAGCTATTTTACATCTTAAGCTACCTAGTCACAGTAGATATATATGCGTGTGCTCTGGTTAGTCTCGTATATATGTAAAAAGCTGCTAGGGTTTCAGTAGGGAAGGAAACCATACTGCATAAACGATGCCAGAGGTTCTGGAGTCACGGTTGATATACACACACATATGTATATTTTTTTATGAGCAATGTTATTTAAACATACAAAAGTAACACACTTTTTATGCACCTTTCATAAAGATAGGCCCAAACAATGGCATAGCCCCAAGCGTATTGATTGAAGTAAAAATTTACACACCGTTCATCTCAAAAATAAATAACAACTTATATCATGTGGTTCCACAACTAATTGTGTCCCGACCTTTTGCATAAAAACCATCCACACCTATTGATTGCATGGGTAGTTAAGTAGGGACATTATTGATACAATTAGTGGTGACCGTGGTCTGCCTCTTTAAAAGTTTAACATAATATCAGAGTGGGTTGGCCTGCATGATTGGGTTCATTTACAAACATGATCAACATGGAATTGGCTCCATGCGTGCCCCACCCACGTGAGGTGAGAGGGAGGGGCGTGAATTGAACAAAATAAAAGGTCTCACATCAGTAATTTCACAAGATAAATCACAACTTATGTCAAATAATTCAAATTCTAATTGTATTGAGGCATTTTGCATAAAAGCCCCACACATATTGATTGTAGGGTGGTTAGTGTGAGGACAATATCAATGCAATTAATAGTTGACCACAGCCAGTCTTTCTGAAACTCCGATTGTACACCTCATACCTATTGATTGCATGAGTGATTAAGTGGGGACATTGGTGATGCAATTAGTGGTGAACCGCGACTTGTCTCTTTGAAATTTTAACAGTACATATATCAGCAAATGTGTCAATTTTATGTGTTTGAATGGTTTTATTTTCACACTGCTATGAAAAAAAGATTGACAATAACCACTAACATTAGTTTCACATATTGAGTAAAGTTTGGTAAGCTAATGAAATTGGTAAAACAAATCCGCCTCCTTAGCTACCCCGTTAGAGTTTATTCATCTCATTCTGTACAACCAATTTTGATAATTATTATCAATTTTTCTTGTAGTGATCTACCTTGTGAGGTATTAGTAGTTAGTACAATATGTTAGAAGAGGTATATATTTATCTTCCAATATTAGAATAAGTCTTAAGATCCAAACCCTAATGAAAAAAATGTGAGCTGTATGCGCAACACAACTTTCATTCTGTGTGGCTAGCCTTGCATGTGTGGATCATGCATGAGTAGTCATGACACTTAAACTCCCAATTGAATTCAATATCTAACCGATGGTCCAATCAACTATCCAATTGACCAACTACTTTTATTGGTGAGAATAACTGCCCTACCATGCTGGTCGATCATCCACTGCAAAAAATAAATAAATAAATATAAAAAAATTAAAAAAAAAAAAACTAATCATAAATGGTTTTTGTGATGACAAGATATTCAAAATATAGCTACAGTGTTAACAAAAATTATGATTTAAACTCTCGTGGTATAGTTCGTTAACAAATTTAGTCCTAAAATAATATTTTAATTAAACGCAGAGATAAAAACGTATTGGGTAAATTACACTTTCATACCTCAGGTTTGGGGTCTATTTCAATTCCTTACAACATCTTTAAAACATTTCACTTTCATACCTTAACTACTATTTTATTTCAAAATAATACATCCGTTAGATTTTCCATCCAATGGTCTGTTAAATGCTGATGTGGTTGCCACGTGGCAAAAAAAAATTTATACATTAACAATATTATAATATTAACCCTAAAAAAAAAAACCCGAACCCAACCCAGATCCCTTTCCTTCTCCCTCACCTCTTTGCAACTCCTATATATATACAAAATCCCTTCCCCTAGAAGAAGAAGAAACCAAACCTATCCCGATGACCCACTTGCCTTCCCCCCCCTCGGCGATGATTGCAAGTATTTGGGTTGTGGTTTTGCAGGTATTATGTTGCAGGTATTTGGGTTGCAGGGGTTTCTAAGAAAACCAGTGAAAAAAAAAAAGCAGAGAAGTGATTAAAGTTGGGGGCTTTGAGGTGGGAGAGGTGGAGGGGGATATGGGTTTTGGGGGAAGGAGACGCGTGGAGGCGGGAGACGGAGGGTGGCGGGGGAAGAGGCGAGAAAGGGGGGGTGGAATTCGAAACTCAAACCCTAGAGAGGGAGAGGGAAGAAAGGAATTGAAAAAAGGGTGTCAAGGAGTGTGTTGGGGTTGGTGTGGAGGAAGAAGAAGAGTGGGAGAGATGGGTAAGGGGGTGGGTGTGGGATGTGGGGTTGCGAGGAAGGGGATCTAAGTTTAGGTTTTTCTGGTTTTTTTTATTTTTTTTAATTTTTTTTTCATAAATAGGGTTAATATTATAATATTGTTACTGTATAATTTTATTTTATTTTTGCCACGTGGCAGCCACATCAGCACAAATGTGGCAGCCACGTCAGCATTTAACAGACCATTGGATGGAAAATCTAACAGAGGTATTATATTGAAATAAAATAGTAGTTAAGGTATGAAAGTGAAATGTTTTAAAGATGTTGTAAGGAATTGAAATAGACCCCAAACCTGAGGTATGAAAGTGTAATTTACCCAAACGTATTTTTATCTCATTTTTTCTTTCTTTTCACCTTCTCTCCCCATCTCTCTTCCTTTTGTCTCTGATTTGTATCTTCACCTTCCTCAAGTCTTTCTCTCTATGCCTAACCATTTGTATAGGTTTTCTGTTCAAACCAAAGTACTAGGATCACAAAAGAGTAAACTGTCGATTTACCCCCTGAACTTTCACCTAGCTTTCGATTTCCACCCTAAACTTTTTTATTGGAAAATTAAGGACTCAAACTAATTTTTTTTTAGCTGATTTGCCCCCTACCGTTAGATTTTCATATATTCCATCCGTATTTCTGTTAAGTGAGACCATGTGCACAACATGTGAGGGTAGTTAAGTTATTTCACTCTTAAAAATGATTAAAAAACTGAATATAAATAAAAAAAATTAAAAAAAAAACAAAACAAAACTTTCCCTCTATTTTTTCCCACTAATTCCTATCCTCAATTTTATTTTCCCTCTCATTCCTATGCATGAGAAATGAGATATGGTGTTATTGTCTTCATAATTAGCTAAGTTAGTCTTTTTCTTGAAGCATGTACTACCATTTTTATTTTCTCTAACAAATTAATAATTTGACAAATGCTCATGGTGTTATTGTCTCCAAAGCAGTGCATTAATATAAGAAACATGTTCATAATACTCATAAAAACTGCTCAACATATTACATACTTTTCATAATGTCATAATAATCCCAATACAATTCCACAAAATGATCCTTAAGAAGTTGGAAAACATAAGAGATTTTACCATCCATAAGGTATATAACCCATAGAATCTCGATTACAAAATATGGGCATTCCACTTAACCAAACACAAGCAAAATAATGTTTTAGTTATCAAAACAAGAGCACAAACATTATGCTCGAAACGCACATGACACTTGGAGATCAACTACACTTTCCATGGCCTTCCTTGTTTGGTTGGAATCTTGTACCTAAACCTATTTTCATTTTTTATGGTTGAGTAAGGTTGAGGGTGTTATGTTTTACAACTTCTTAAGGATCATTTTGTGGAATTGTATTGGGATTATTATGACATTATGAAAAGTATGTAATTATCTTGAGCATTTTTTTATGAGTATTATGAACATGTTTCTTATACTAATGCACTACTTTTGAGACAATAACACCATGAGCATTTGTCAAATTATTAATTTGTTAGATAAAATAAAAATGGCAGTACATACTTCAAGAAAAAGACTAACTTAGCTACTTATGAAGACAATAACATCATATGTCATTTCTCATGCATAGGAATGAGATGGAAAAATAAAATTGAGGATTGGACTTAGCGGGAAAAAAATAGAGGGAAAGTTTGTTTTTTTTATATTTATATTCAGTTTTTTAATCATTTTAAGAGTGAAATTACTTAACTACCCTCACATGTTGTGCACATGGTCTCTCACTTAACAGAAATATGGATGGAATATATGAAAAACTAACGGTAGGGGGCAAATCGGCTAAAAAAATTAGTTTGAGTCCTTAATTTTCCAATAGAAAAGTTGAAGGGGAAAATCGAAAACTAGATGAAAGTTTATGGAGTAAATTGACAGTTTACTCATCACAAAAACAGAAAGTGGGTATAGCTGATTCTTTTTCTTCCTAAATTTCCAACCTGCAACCAACCTTTTTTAATATTACGGACAAGCTTATGATGGAGAACAAAACAGTACAAATCACCACATTCACTTGCATCACTGCAGCCATTAGGCTTTCTTCGTTTTCCAGCACACCATGAAACAAAGGCAAGAAGTTTATATAAATCGTTTTGAAATTGTTTCATTATTTTGTAGAGATCGTGTGTGTGTGAAAATACAAATTGGAATGTGGTTGAGATTTCCTATTTTCTGTCACCACAAGAAAGAATAGAGTGAAAATACAAATTACAAAGAGAAAGAAGAGAGACGATGAAGAAGAAGATGCACA